AAACTTTAAGAACTTTTCTTTGACTTGCTATTTAACTTCTAGACTTGACGCTTAACTTCTCTTGACTTTGATCTTAACTTTTCTTGAATTGGATTATGTATTCAAGGTTCATGATCTCATGTTTATGAATTACTTTATGATGTTTATATGTACCTTAGAGTGTTGGATCAACTAGAAAACATATGTATATCACTAAGAGACTAGTACGAAAAGATGGGGAATGAATGGGGAGAACTGACGTCCCTGACGCTCTGAGAGGCTTGAGGCACCAACCCCCACACTCTGGCACGCGCGACGCCCTTATCCTTTTCCTTAAAAATTCCTAATTTTTCTCCTTAGTTTTTCATCTGTAAACTTCAATGGTTCTTCCCCCAAACACTTATGTTAACTTATACCCTCAATATATGATACATTCAACTTGAAATTTCACCAGCAAACATGAATCAAACTACAAGAAAATTCAACTAAACGACCCTCATGAATTCAAACAAATTTAACCAAGAACTCAAATGATTTACTTTCAAAATTAATATTATTCCGCTGAATTCAATCATGATTGACGCGTGAGTGAACTAACCCAACACTAAAAGATATCACATACCTTTTAGGGATTACCCCAATGGAATCACAAGCAAATCACGACGATCTTGATGAATGAATGTTCTTCTCTTTTCTACACTCTTCACCTCTTCTTTTCTCTTCTCTTAAAACCCTGACTATTTTGGTAAAAGTATAAAGTGATCTAATTCATCTTAGACTCATAATGACTTACCAAAAACCAATTAAAATAAAAGGGTAAGGAAAAGACTAAACTACCTTTTCAAAATCATATTAGACTTTTTTTGTTCCAACAACCCAACTTCCAAAGGGCATAATTCACTCAATATGAACTCGGAATCAGGCAAACTTGGCGGCATTAGAAAGATTATTCCAAGGTATTTCCAACCATATTTGGAGGTACACCTAACTCATCTTGAGCTAGAAGTTATGTTAATTTTAAGTTGAACAAAACCTCAGCTTTTCCTAACTTAAACAAATTTCCAGATTTTCATTATATCCAAAATGACTATTTTGAATTATTAGCTTATTCTTAGTTATATCAAATTGCGAGATGTTACAGCTCTAATCTCAATGCTAAAATTTCATCCCACCTTCTTTAAATATACCTAACCACATGAACTTAGACTCTAAATGTTAAATTTTTTTAGCTAAAGGTCGCTTGGTCACACCCAAGCAAGCTAGACTACCCATACTCACCGCTTTTCAGCTTAGTGTGTCCACCACTATATTAGCCTTACTCGGATGATACGAGATGGTCACATCATAATCCTTGAGTAACTTTGTCCATCTTCGTTGTCTCAGATTGAATTCCTTTTGTGTGAATACATGTTACAGGCTAGATGGTCAACAAATACTTTACACTTAACACCATAAAGATAATGCAGCCAAATATTAAGAGCAAACACTAGTGCTGCCAACTCTAAATAGTTTGTTAGGTAGTTCATTCATGAACTTTCAAGTATCTTGATGCATTAGATACTTCAGTATTTTCCTTTATCAACACCGCATCCAAACCCTAATGTGAAGTATCACAATAAATAATAAAAATTTTAACTTCCACTGGTAGTGCAAGAATAGGTGTTGTGGTAAAAAGAATCTTGAGATTTTCTGAGCTCTCATGATATTTTTAGTACTTTGATAAAAAATTACATCCTTTTTAGTCAATCTTATTAAATGTGCCACAATAGAAACAAAGTTTTTTCATAAACCGCTTCAATCTTTTGGGGATCTACCATTAACCTTCTTTTGATACTACATTCCCCAAAAAGGAAACCAAAGTCAACCAAATTTAAAACTTAAATTTGTATACAAAATTTATTTCTTAAGAACATCCAGAAGAATACGAAGATGGTAGACATACTCTTCCTTCTCTTAGTGTAAACCATAATATCATCAATAAACACTATCTATATCGAACGAATCAAGAAAGGGTTTGAACACCCCATTCATCAAGCTCATTAAAGTTGTAGCCGAATTTGTCAACCAAAATGACATAACTAGGAACTGAGAGTTCCCGTAGCGGGTCTAAAATGTTGTTTCAGGTATATCCTGAGGACTAATCTTTAAGTGATGATAACCAACCTTAAATCATTCTTAAACAAGATGTCCATGCAACTGGTAAAAAATATCATCTATCAGAGGCAACTGATACTTATTTCTAATGGTGCCTTTATTCAATTGACGATATATTCTATGCACATTCATACTAATGTCTTTCTTCACAAGACAGTAGCATCCCATGGGGAAGTGTTGACACCCAATTTCGGCCCTCCAATATACAATTAATTAATCAAGCTTCATCAATTTCAAACAATATAAAATAATTAGTTATATAACATTTAAAAAAAATTTAAGTCTTTTAAAATATTTTTGTCATTTTTATAATTTTAAATAATATATCTATTTTATATAATTATGTATATAATTAGTAGATTTTAAGTATATCCAAACATCGTCTCAAAAAGACTTTTTGCTTTAATTGAGTATTTGTTTGATTAGTTTAATTTATGTTTATATTTTTGAGTAAATTTTTCCTATAATTGAATTAATTGTCTTATTTCATTAATATGAAGAAGCTCACTGATTAATTTATATTAACTTATTGTTTCCATTTTAGCCGAATTTACCAATTAAATTCTATTCCGCTATAATTGAAATCCATTTGGCTATTGTTTTTTCAGTCAATTGATTACCCCATATTTTAAGAAAAAATTTGGACCACTTCCTTAAGGCCAATCCGATTTCCAACACCAAGTAATCTCAGCCCATCTTATTATAACATTACAACAACACCAAAACCCCAATTTATTTTCTTACAAGACCAATAATAATACAACCTTGCAAATGACCCCACCCTTACTGCATCTTCCTTTCCATCAAACAGTAGTCCAGCCCAGTGAATCCCAACAAATCTGGGAAAGTAGTAGGCACTTGCAGCAGCCATCACCATCGTCGTTTCCTTTTCCCCTAGATGAAATAGGAGTAGTAACTTAGATGGACGTGAGTATGAATGATTGTAATTTGATGGACATAGTTCCTAACTGATTGTGTTTTTCTTTGTTAGTTAGAATAGTGTATAACCACCAATAGCAGATTCTAGAAGGATCCTAGGCAATTGTAGATTAAGGAGAAGGTGTACATATATTCTTCAAGTAATTCTTTTTTCACATTTTGTACAAAAGCTTCTTCACATATATGAAGATGTTATCTTTTGTTTCTAAGCTCATTATTATTCAATGGACGTGAATTGATTCGTTAACATGGTATCAAAAGCTGTATGACCATTGATCTGGTCTAATTGAGCAAGTTTGCATAAGAAACATGGCGATTGAGTGGATAATTAGTTGCCAGAAAAAATAAGCCATCATCATCCTTTATATCTGAATTCTTCAAATACTTCTTGAGTGATTTTAATTTGATTCAACTAATTGGATCTAAGAACTATTCTGTATGGAGCATATCAATGAATATTGCTTTACTTGGAAGAAGCATGTCAGGTTTCATTGATGGAAAGTGCAGAAACGAAGGTTTTGGCACAAATTTGTCTGATCTATGGAAGCATTGCAATGAAATTGTTCTTTCATGGATAATGAATTCTGTCTCAAAGGAATTGCTTAGTGGAATTGTCTACTTGACTGATGCATGAGGAGTTTGGAGAGATCTCAATGAGAGATTCGACAAGGCTGATGGATCGCTGATTTTTAATTGCACAAAGAAATTGTATCTTTGACGTAGGGAATGAGTAGAATTGCTGAGTATTTTACTCGCTTGCGTTTGCTTTGGGATGAATTTTAAAGTTTAGCTCCTTTTCCTAGATGTGATTGGTAAGATCACGATATTTTACAGAGTTCATGTGAAGGCAAAATTTAATGCAGTTTCTTATGGGCCTAAATGAGTCTTGTGAACAAGCTAGAGGTCAACTTCTATTGTTGATCCCAATTCCTTCTGTAAATTAGGTTTAGTCAATGCTAATTGAACACAAAAGCTAAAGGAATATGTCATGTGTTGCTGGATCAATGTTGAACATGGAGATTTCATATTTGGTGGCCGAAAGAAATGGGCATCCACCTAAGTTTAAGAAGAACTGGAACTCCTTGTGTGATTACTGTAGAAGGATTGGGCATATTAGTGAGAATTATTATTAGTTGATCCACCTAATTTCATGTTTAGGAAGATGTATAACAATACCAATCTTGTGAATCCAAGGGGTGGATATTATATGAATCAATCCTATAATGTGACATCTGATTACAAACAAACCAAAACTGATACACGACATGGTAGAGCTTATTATGTTGATACATATATGATTCCTTTATCAAAGTTGTGATGCCATCAGTATCTCATAGCAGGGGGAGGAGACTTTGGAAGGTACTCAGGTTATTCAAGAAAATCCTCTAGTGATTGACATAGAGAGGCAGGACCAGGATCTTCGAATTACTCACATCATCAATGCAATCAACTGATTCATAATATGGTGAACCCACACCATTATAATCAATTTCAGCGCCTGATGTATATAGACAATATTGGAGGAAGCTCATCCCCAATCTCATCTATCTGATTCAGCAAACATGTGAGGTAATGTATCTATCTCTAATTGCTAAATGCTCACAACAAAAGTAATATTCATACGCCTCAAATGAACGAAACTAAGGAAGAATGGATAGTCGACACTGGATCAACTAATCATATGATTTCCCATAAAGGAATGCTAATGGATGGAAAAGGAATTATTACTGTTTCTGATAAAATAGTGTATTTACAAAATGGAGAAACAGTAGATGTTTCAAATATTGGTAGTTGCGGCATACTGAATGGAAGGATATCGTTACTATCCGATAGCACCCCCTAGTCGTTACCAGTGTCTTCATCCTTGAACAGGTCTTAGACAAGCCTTTACCATTCATCAGTGCATCATAGATAGAATAAATGCGGAA